GCCGCCAGTTAAGAAGAAACGCAACCTCCCCGGGACTCCGGGTAATTTTTTTTTATTTATTTCTTAATTTCATGTACTACAAGTAGAAATTTTAAGGTTTAGTAGGATGTTTGGTTAGTGTAATAGTTTTGTATCAAGTTGAAGAGAATGAGGTTAAGAGGATGATTTGGTTTTGTTTCTTGAAGCGGTTGGAGGGTCAATTAGTGTTTACATAATATGATAGCAATCATTAAAGAACACAGTATTGCTATGATCAGCAATTGCTAATTTGCTTCTTAATTAATTTGGTTTTAATTAAACAAGTTGCATTAGATTAAGAGAGAGTTCTTTGTCAGGATTGAGAATTAGTGCCTTTGACAGCATTCTAGGACAAGAAAGTCCACAATACAATCATATATAGAATCTTTTTTTTTTGGTGATTTTTAGTAAGATGGTTTTTTTATTATTAATTATTAAACTGAATATATTATAATACTATGTATTTATATATAAAGTAATATTATAGTTTCCTATATGATAAGTCCATAAAAAATAAACGTATGATTTATGTCTTATTTTTTATGGGATTTCTTAGAATTTACTATAAAAAAAGTCTCATGATTAGAGATCTACTATACCGAACTTACGGATTTAAAAACATATATAATATCCAAAATCAAATAGAAAAATTTTGAGGTGCACTACACAAGCTTAATTCTTCCCATTGATTTTCTTCATGGTTGTAGTATTTTTCTTAATTACTGCAACCGAGTTCTCTTAGGTCTCGGCCTAATTCTTCTACCTTGTTTTGTTAACATATTTTTAGAATAGTTCCATTATATAACCTCTGTTGTACATGATCAAACTATCTTAACATCTGATGTACTTCTTGACTGCAGATCCCACGGCGGAGGTGATCGCCCTCTCCCCGACGACCCTGATGGCAACCAACCGCTTCGTCTGCGAGATCTGCAACAAGGGCTTCCAGCGCGACCAAAACCTCCAACTCCACCGCCGAGGCCACAACCTCCCGTGGAAGCTCCGGCAGCGGACAACCTCCGAAGTCCGGAAACGGGCCTACATCTGCCCGGAGCCGGGTTGCGTGCACCACAACCCGGCCCGGGCGCTCGGGGACTTGACCGGAATCAAGAAGCACTTTTGCCGGAAGCACGGAGAGAAGAAGTGGAAGTGCGAGAAGTGCTCGAAGAAGTACGCGGTCCAGTCGGATTGGAAAGCGCACGTTAAGACTTGTGGGACGCGGGAGTACAAGTGCGATTGTGGGACTATTTTCTCCAGGTCCGGGCTCTAACAATATTTAGATTGAGTTTTATAGATAACTTAGATCTCAGATTGCATATATGCTCTAAATCTTTCATAGTTTGAAATTTAGTCCTCAAATCATTAAAATTGTTAGTTTAGTCGCCCAGTTCCCACCGGTCATTTCAAATTAGTCTGTATAACTGGCTTAGCATTTGAATTAGGATGGTTCAAAAATAAATGAGTGCTTCGGGAGTCTTATGTAACCATAAAATACCTATCAGACTACATGGAAAATTATATAGAACAGTTAATTAAAAACTAACAATGCTTTATGGATCGGAATGTTGGACGAATAAAAAATAACATGTGGGAAAAAAATGAACGTAGCAAAAGTGGGAATGTTATGATCTTGTGGGTATACACTAAAATATAGGATAAGAAATGAGTATGTACGTAGTAAATTAGATGTTGCTCCTATTAAGGATAAAATGAGAGATATTCGACTTAGATGGTTTGATCACGTACAACGGAGACCTCTTGGTGCACAAGTTAGGAAAATCGATAAGATTATAGTTAATAGGGGCAAAATACAGATCTAGAGGTACGTATAAAAGAACTTGATTGTGAGCAATTAAGAAGAATATAATAATGATTTAACTTAACGGATGAGATGGCCCATAATAGAACAGAATGAAAAAAATAAGACTCACGTAGCCGACCACAAACATTTGGGAAGGATTTGTTGTTGTTCTTGTTGTTGTTTCCATTTGTAGCTACAGTTTAGGTTAATCTAGCTAAATCCAAATCCGTTTCTAAAACCATTGAAAACCAAAACGAAAAATTGAATTTGGGGATTAAATAGAACTTTCAATGTTATGTTTTTTGTTTCCTCTTTAAAAAACATTAATTAGCTTTTCAAGAACTCAAAGTTTATTGAACAGAGCAAAAATAGTACCCAAAGAAAATAAATAAAAAGAAAATCAAATTTGCATGCTAAGCACGAATGCGTGCAGAGAAACGCTGCATGTAATTAACATGCATATTAACCATCTTTTTGTCATGCATGCATGCATGCAGGAGGGACAGCTTCATCACCCACAGAGCTTTCTGCGACGCCCTCGCCGACGGAAGCGCAACACCGGAACCACAGAATCCCGCTGGCGCCGACACACCACCACCACCCTCGTCGACCAGCCACCGAGTCGCCGACGTCCCCATCAACCGACTTAAGCACCCGGGGCGCCCTCCCCCTTGCATCCCCCTCCCCTCCTCCTCCTCCTCTGCGCGCCCCACCACTCTTTTCGCCTCGCTCATTCCACCGGCCTTCGACGCAGACATGAACAGCGGCGGCGGGTCATCGACGGCCGCAACATGTCCGCACACGCCGCTGCTGGCAGAAGGCTGCCGCAGATAGGAGCCACGCCGGGGGCGGCGGAGGAGGTAGCATGGTGGGTCCGGACGATGAGAAGCTGTAGTCCTCAAGTTTCCGGCCGTAAGGGGTTGTTTGGTGATGCAAGGGAGACTGATGAAGAGCTTGCACGAACAACAAGAGATGATGTACGGAAGCAGTAGTAACGTGATGACTGTGGATTTCTTGGGGGTGGGAGGGGGGAGGGGGGTAGGCTTACCTCCTCCTCAGCATCAGCAGCAGCCACAGTTTGATGAAAGGATGATGATGGTGATGATGGGGGAGAATAGGATTCAGGGACTGCAGCAGCTCCAGCAGCAGCAGCAGGAAGGGCAAGGGGACTTGATGGGTCATAAGTCCATGTGGGGAGGTCATGTGTAAATAGCGAGTGTAATGAACCAGGTCCACTGGATACTTGCTCGACTGCGACAAAGATGCTATTTAGCCCCAAGGTAGTGGTGTTTTGGATGGTGATGCTAGCTAGCTAGTTGTATCTCGCCTTTTTAAGATAATAATTGATGCAGATAAAAGTTAGTATCCTTCATCTTTCCCCTTAATTTGTCTGGATTGAGATCCTCTCTCTTTAACCTAATCGTTTATCGATTAGTAGACATATTGGATATATTTCTAAAAATACTAATAATTCATAGATATAGCGGAGACTATATCCTAAACAAATTAAAACAAGCAATTATGATTTTAGAAAATTACTAAAAAATAAAAGTGGAGATAAATATCTAAATTTGTTTAGTGAAGAGTGCAATTCATGTCACTCTAATCACTGTTTACAACTAGCCCATTTGATACTTTTCTAGGTTGGAAAAATAAAAATAAAAAAAATCCATGAAAGGTAAAACAACTCATAAAACCAGAAATTATTTTTGCGTGTTTTCAGAATGGCAATCATTTATTTCAAGATTGAATTCCCACATGTTACAAATGAAATGATTCAAGACTCTCAATCTCACATGAGGAGAGTTTATACATGGTCAATCAGAGATAAGTCCCTTCACAATTAGGCAAAGAGGTAATTTCCAACAAAAAATGCGATATTCTCAACTTAATTAGGTATACCTGGGCTCCAACATCACCAAACCATTGTTGACTTGTCAACTTTGCTGTCAACAAACTCTACATCAAGCCCAAGTCAAATGAAAGCCCATCTGCTTTGGCTGTGGACCAAATAATGGGTCAACTTCCCAAACCCAGATGCACAAATGACCGCATAAACCGAAAAAAAAAAAGTATGAATATAAACCTCCAAGGGCTGAGACAAACTCAGCAACTCACCTCAGATTAAACTCTTTGATGACCATCAGCATAAGTTTTGCTGCATACTACTATATATGGAAATCCTTACATGGATTGATATCAATAGAATGAAAATAGAAGAGAACATTACCACAGTCAACTATGAATGGAAATTGACAAAAGCTGATACAGATCCCTGATATCCACAGTCTGCAAGCTCAGCATGCGATTTATTGAGTCAAATAGTCGTTCCTCCTCGCCCATTTCGATCCACCCGATGAACCTCCAGATACCTCAAATTGAACCACTGCTACATTGCGCGCGAACAGTCATCGATGAATCTTCAAACCTTTGTGAAGGAAGAAGATTGGAATCCTCCTGACTAGTAGAGCACCCCGAGCAGTTCGTGAGACTCTTTCCTCTCAGTTTTGACACGGGAATTGTCGAATAAGTTTGTGGTTTGAGAATACCCCTCCTCTATTCCAACACTTGGAACCCTAGAGCTAGTGCTAGTGCTAGAGCTAGGGCTAGGATTAGGATGAGCTCCAAGATTTTTGCGAGCCCTACGAGAGGACCTGGATGTCAAATTCCCAGACCGAGAGGGCTTCGAGCTCTTCTCCTTCCTCACACTAAGGAATCCACACGCAACGGCTTCTAGTGCCCTAGTTGTGGGTGGCCTGTTTCTAGTACCGTGTCTCCTGCAATTTATAGCATTTGCTTCACTAGCCTGGGTATCTTCAGTTTCTTGCTTTGCTTCAAACGTTTCATTTTGCTGGCCATGTACAGCATTCGCTTCACTTGCCAAAGGATCTCCAGTATATTGCTTTTCTTCGAAAGTTTCGTTTGGTTTCAAGTCATCCTCACTGTGTCTTTGGCCATTTATAACATTAGCTTCATTTGCAAGAGGATCTTGTGTTTCTTGCTTTGGCTCAATAGTTTCCTCTGGCTTTAACTCATCCTCATTGCCTTCAACCCCCATGTCTAAAGGTCCTTCAGAATCTAAATCCTGAGGATCCAGGTTTAAATCGATAAAAGCTCGTTGCTGAGATTTACCATTAGAGGGACCAGCTCCATTGCTTTCTCCCTGAGATGTTCCATCTTCTGTAGCAGTTGATTTATTACTTTCAACTGATTCAAGCTGAATATGTTCCTCTTCGTTATTCAACTGGTTGTGTCTTGGTACATAACTAGAGCTAGAACAAGCTCCAGCTGACTTACATGAAGTTAACCTCCGTCGCTTTGGCCCAGGAGCTGAAGAATTTTGCTCCCCGGATTTTAGTTTTCGACTGAACTGATACTTTTTGCCTTTGATAGACGACTTATCAATGAAAAGTTCACAAGATTGGCCTTCAAGACCATGCTCATTTTTGGGCAGCTTTAACTTCGAATCGGCAACTAAAGGTGTTTGATCAGATTCGCCTGAGCTGTTTATAAATGAATCACCTGAGCTTGATTGATCAGTGGAGCTATCACTATTAGTCACTCCTTGATGACTAGAACGGTAATTAAAGGTAGCATCAGCTGGTAAACTTCGTAATTCTCTCACCTTAGACGATGCTCCCCCTTGAGCCAAGCTAGTATCAACAACAGTAAATTTCATAAAGTCTGAGTGACAATTATCAGGGAGTCTAGGGCGCAGATAGCAAGACTGCTGACGATCAGATCGAACATTTTGGACCACCTTAGTGTCCGCAGCACTCTCATTGACTCCATTGCTTTCCTTGCCTTCTTCAGCTTCCAGCTCAAGAAGCCTTGGATCCGATGCCACTTTGTTAAGTACGTCGCTGACCGAATCAAAATAGTGATTGCCCTTTGTTAGTTTTTTCCTAGAGAACTTCTTAATGCCAGGGATGAGAAATACCAAAGCGTTTTTGGAAGTAAGAGCACTGAGATCTTTCGGCTGCTCAGAGTGCCAACCTCTAGCAAGCAAACGAGGCCAAACAGCTTCCCAAAAAAGATCATTGGCCTTGGCTTTGCTTAATCTGAAATCTCCAGTCAGAAACTTGACGATTTCTGCTGATGTAAGAGAGGAACAATCTTTGCCTACAGGGATTTCAGGACGAGCAGAGACAGCTGGATTTGGTCTAACATGATCCAGTACAATGCCAGTGAGGTCTTGCTTGCCTTTACCAATTCCTACAGCATGTACAAGAGCTTCAGCACCAACTATTGCCTTGAGGCTGAAAATAAATTCCTCTAGAGAAGCTGTTCCATCGGTGAAAGCTTTGGTGACCTGCCAAAAGAATTAACAACTAATATCGAGAAAAGAGATGTGTGATGAAAAAGAATGGAGTCATTTAGTTAACATAAAACTTAAGATAGCTATTAAAAAGAGAAAAGAGTTGAGTTTGTGCAGGTTTGCTAATTAATGGGTGGATAACAAATTTGCGCAATTAGAAATGATGAGGTAAAAGAATTGCTAATTTCACGCTATATGATGGAAAAGATAGTTAAAACAGACATGACTGAGTTCAATTCGTGAACAGTCAATTCATGATGCCCCTAGTTACTCCTGTATCACTACCGGCACACCAACCTATGCAGATCTGGGCCGTCAATATTGCTAAGTTTGATGAGTGAACAATCCAGAAATGGTTGCTTGAGCAACATTCAAATACGAACAAAGACAGGTGGTAATCCCTATATTTCTTCCCTACTTAGAGATGTCTATTCCTACACTATCTGTACATAACATGGTTCACAGGATACCAAGAGTGTAGATCTTACAGGTAACATAGAAAAAGCTGGGTGTCATATCTTGTGGACAGGATGTTGATTGCAGCCAGCTGCACCCACAGAGGGTATAAAATTTACACTGTTTCACACTAGCCAACCACATTATCGTTTTAAACCTTTTTATGTCCTCGCTATCCAAATATTATCAGAACTTTCAGACTAAGATTTTCTCAACTGGTCTAGGGAAGCCTATCTTGGAACGCTAGTCCAGTGAAACAGAAGGTTATATTACTTGCATTGTAGGTACCAAACCTGCTGGTTGAGAGTGACAAGATTAAGCTCATATATACATGAAGAAAAATGAAAAATGATGGCATCAAGTATAGAAGCGTAATGCACAAAAAGATGGTGTTAAATGACGCAGACCATATCGTATGAGCATGCAACAAGTGAAAAAGAATAGTTAGAGATCCCTAAACTGAAAATTTTAACATATTGATTCGCTATATAAGAGGCCACTGATATACGCAGGACATCTATCTAAACAGGCCTATAATTGTCTATCTGTGAAGCTTGGACATATTTTTGACTTCCTGGTGTCGTCTAACATGAATTTAAAGTGTTAAGTTTCAGGTGCTGACATGGGTTTATCTCTGTCATCTACAGCCAAAGTTATATGCTGCATGCCAAATGATAATTACAAATTACTGTGAGAAACAATCCTTGAAAGTTAATAGAAATGACTTTCTTTGATCTGCTAGATAGGCTATAAATGAAAATGGGGAAAGAGCAAACATGCATGATTAGGAAAAGAATAACCTCAATCAATGTCTCCTGGACTTCCTTCGATCTGCTAGAAAGCAAGCGTGATAATAGTTCCTGTTGTCTCCAACCTGTAAAGATGCGATGCCCAAGTATGCACTTTCTGCTTTTGGTCTTTCTACACTCCACCCATCTACGTTGGGCATCGGATCTATAGAATTTCCCATAATAAAAGGATAGCACATCCCCCATAGCTTTACTCTCAACAAATCTTTGTACCAGAACAAGGTTTTTCCCAAAAATGTAGAGACCAAGGAGAAAAATCTGTGATTCAGAATCACTCCATGGGGCTTTTGGTGACTCGGGCAATGGAATGTAGCCTTTGGTTTTACCTGAAGTGCTGCATTCCAAGTTTGACGAGCAAGCAAATTGTTTGCCATGTTCTAATTGACCATCTGGAACTTCAACTTTGCATGTAACAGTTTGAGGCAAAGTATGAGGATTGCTTAAATAATCAAATGAAATTCCAGACACATGGTTAACCCAGAAAACTGGAACAGCCAACTCTTTCCCAGCGTAGCCATTTAAAATCTATCCTGTCAACCTTATCACTTGAGGTGTTCTGCAGCTGAAGACGCTCTGTTTCTGATAGAAGAGATGGAATTCCAACCTGGTACTGAGCTCCTGTACGAGGAGTAACTAAAGGCTCCCCGGAGATACCATCTGTACTTGGGGAGTCTGGACAGAGTGATTGATCATAAGTCTCTGCACTAAACTTCTCATTATGATTGAGAAATTCTTCTTTGTAATTTTCTTCAATTAAGTTCATCTGCAAGGACAGATATGA